TCATCAGAAAAATCTCAGCAACATGTTAAAAAAAATTCCAGATGAAAAAAAGTAAAATTAAAGAAATTATATTTTTCTATTATGATTTGTCGAGCCGTGAAAACTCCGACTGCGAGCGAGATAACATGGGCGCAGCAATGACGCAGACCTAGGCGTAGGACCATCTATACTGTCACTTGTAGAATCCAAACTTACTGACTCTTGTAGAGAATTTACTGTATTCCGCTCCTCGTTTCTTTTCGCCGCCGCTCCGATTCGTTCTCTTCCGGCTCGATGCTTCTTCTTTTTTTTCACACACTCACACACCTCACACTCTTCCTCCTTTTCTCCGCACACACACACACGCGATCGACTTGACACCCATGTGTCTAAACATAACAAACACGCCACGCACGATCGTCTTCCATTCCTTTCCAGGCCATTCACACCAGTCTCTCACATTCACTCTTTCATACCAAAGCCCCACAACTCACACACACGCGCAGCCAATGCGGCCCTCTCTTTCTCTCCTTCACCCTCGTTCACACTTTCGCTCCCACAAAATTATCTTTTGTAATGATAAAATTTGGAAGATGTAGAAAAGCCTAAGGCACTAATATTTTGGTACAAAGAATAATTTAATCAACGGAATCTCATTTGATTAATTTCTTATCAAATTTCACTAATTACGCCATTTCTAATAATTTTTTACATAAAAATTCCTAAGTTCCTATGTAAATATTGTCGACAACGTATTACAGTGATTTATCCATCCAATAATAATGAAAATAAAGAAACTCAGAAATTGTTAACCCTTTCTATTACCATCGAACAACGCTTCGAATCACCCCTGAACAATATTCCTCCCTGAAACCATTCCGGGAGCATCGAATTTCCAACGCTAGAAACGCCCTTACATGTTCAGAAACCATTCATCGAACCACCCTTAGAAACATGGCCATCGATTTCAATTCTAATCGCCATAAATTCTAATGATTCTAATTCGAACACCAGGTCGTGGTTAAGTATTTGCACGGCACACCGGCACATCTATCCTCCGTTTCGTCGATAATCGATCGCTCCCTTTATACACCTATGACCCAACGGCGAAGAACGAATTCATTCTTACCTTCGATCTTCCCTCCACGCGTTTCTCTTGGTTCAACTGAATCCAGGCGTCCCATCGGTGCCTGTAGACAGTTAGAGTGTTCCACTCGTTCAGCCTCACTGTTTGCGTGCTCCTGACGGTGCCAACTCCGCTGCCGCAATCGAACCTTCGAACAAATAGCGCAATTACGTCACTTTCGCTTATGCTGTAATTCGTAACAGCGAGATTTGTGTGTTTCGTTTTTTGCCCTTCGTTCAAAGATCAGATAAATTTTTTTAAAGAGCTTTTCCTAACTCTTTTTACGGAGAAAGTAAAATTTTTGGTAATTTTTAGTAACTTTGAACGAAAAATGCCAGAGAACTTAAAGAAATGAAGAATTGAAGACGTAGAGAACGTTTGGGATGAATGGGTGAATAAATACGCGTCGTTTCTATGATCGACGCTAATTTTCTTTCACATTTCTGCTAGTCAAGCTACTGTGAAAATTTAATTGTGAAGGATCCCTTTCTTACCCGCGAAAAATTTTCCACTGTTTAACAAGCTCTAACTTTCGACGATAGGATCTTTTCTCGCAAGTTTTTCACATGGGTGCACTTGCAAAAATTTTGTAAAATTAGAACCGTATTCCAGGCGAAGCGTTAAGGTACCGGCGTTAGAAAAATCAATACTCCGTCGGAGATTTTTCAAATTTTTTCACAAGTGTGCCGAAAATCGTGTCACAAGATGCAAAATTTTATCTAACTTCGTTTAAAATATTTTAAGGCGACGCGAATGAAACGCATAACTTAAAAGAAAATATTCTTGTAAGTTTCTTGTAAATATTCTTGGAAGCTAAAAATATTTGCCTCAGAAAATTTCTATAAAAAATACAATACAAAGAAACACGAAAACTCCCTGTCCAATTATTACTCTCCACTTTTCAAACTTTCTTTTTTTTGAATTTCACTGTTATCCACTTCGCGGAATTCCGTTTCTCACATTGTTCAAGTATCGCTGTGCAGCGAGAAATCCAGATTTACCCGAGACAGAGGAACGCTTCGTGCGTATGAAGTCGGTCGAGTATCTTAAACGTGGATCTCTAAGGATTCATTGGCGCGGGAATCGTTCGCGTGGCAGCCTCTTAGAAAAACCTATTTCCGGAATAATGGATCGCGTGGTACGTGTACCTGAAATGTGTTTCAGCCTTGCGGGAAAAGTTTCTCCGTCCACCTTGGACCGTGTATCGTGTAATGAAAGAGGAAATTAAGGCGGAGGAAACGTGATGTTAAATCCGTTTGGAACAGCTCTAGCGATGAAGCTTTTGAAAATATTTCAAACAACAAATAATAATTCTCGTGTAATTTAAACAATATTTTATCAAGGTTCGATACACTTCGATGCTCAAAACGAGTTTATTTTGGAAAGCAGCGAGTACTGAAAAAATTTCCTGCGACTTTTCTGTCAGCGACAAACTTAAATTGACTTCCTTGAAATTTTTTTATAATTTATTCAATTAACCAGACATTTGAACAATATTTCCACGGGAATCATCCTGATTTAATACTGAAAATTAATTAACCATTATCCGAATTCTATATTGCAAATCCGCGCGAATTTTCCGCGTTAATTCCTCGACTTTCGCGGCACAATAGATCCGAGGTTTTTCGTTCGACGACGCGGAGGGACACACGCGTCCGAACGGAAATGAAAAAGTGTTATATCTATTAACTATTCCATAACGCAGCCGTCAATCAAGCGGCGATCGGGAGATTAACGCGAGCACGAAACCGCGTAATATCCGTGAAATTTGTGTCGATGAAAGGAGAGGGAGACTCATTGAAACGGACGATGCGATTCGACGGTGCAATTACTCGTTCACGGTGCAACGATTCCGCGGATAGGATGCCGCGTGCTCGCGTGCCGCCATTATCTCGCGCTTGGCCCCCTTCATTTTTCGATAATAACGTCGATACGGTGGAAACGGTCCAAGGATATGAGCACCACGGCCAGAGGTTGAATATTAAAGCGATAACGATTCCGGCCTGCTTCGAACCGGCTGCGTTCCGACTTTTCCACCTGAATATATTTGCACGGACCAACTACTGTGCGATTCAGCTGTTTCAGTTGATGCTATATACCAGTCGAAGTAGGTTACTGTAATTCGTTCTGTTACCGTGTGCAGCTTTGAGAGACTTTTTCCACAATTTAACAGTCTTGTATTGTGTGTAACGAGTCACGCTTGCGGCGATGATTATTTTAGCTCATGGATCGATCAACTTTGATCCAGAGCTTTATATTTTTTATTTCTAAGGGTGTGGAGTCATTTGTATGAAAAATAGCATGGACAGAGAACAGAGAAAATGCTGATAATTATAAATAAAAAGAAAAAATTAAATTAAAGCAGAAATTCAGATGTAAGCCTGAAAACAAATTGAGGGAGGCTCCACGTTTTTCTGCAGAATTTGGAAGTGACGTGGTGCAAATGATTACCCGCCAAGTGGGTAACAAAAATATATTTATTTAAACGTAATGCTTAAACTAATTTCAAATGTACTATGTGATGCGCGTGCAGAGAATGTCTACGACAAAAGGCCCCGTGCCTTTTTCGGGGCTCCCTTAACACATTGGCGACGGGGCTCTTAGAGTGATTTCGCGTCTTTTCTTTCAATCGTCACTTTTCAACTAATTATTATTTTTCAAAGTAATTTTCAAGAATGCGGCAAATTACTTTTTCGTAAAACGTATACAATTATTAGAATTCGTGAAACATCTGTCACGGCATTTCTGAAAAGAAATTCAATCATTCACCGCGTTTTATAAATTTACTCTCAGGCAGATATGTGAAAATCTCAATGACGTATTTCGCGTCATCCGGAATCCAAGTGAATATCCGACGCAAATGTGTTGAGTAGCCACTTTTCCCTGGGAGAGTCCCAGGAAGTGGAGGCGCGGGCCTGCATTGCCGAGGCAATACTCTTGTCCTCGAGGACGAAGAAACTCGGAGATGTTTGGAAAAACATTTCTCGATTCTTCGCCTCGAGGGCCAAGAGTCGCCAGGCCTAAGTGCGTGGCCCCACCGTGGCGGTCGCCACAAGAATTATAATGATTATGCTCAAAATGTGACGGAAAACATATTGTATTCATAGTTTTGCTTTTTAACTTTAAGTTTACTAAATACAAATTATGTATAATATTTCATTATTTATCAATTGTGAATAGCCGAGACTAACCTAAGTAGCGATTAAAAAATCGTAAAGAAAAGGGTTAAATTTTTTGTTTAGTGTCTTAATTGGGTCCATTTTTAGGCGGAAGCTCGATACTTTGAGTGTGCAATTACAAATCACTGTGAATTTTCAGCGGTTACTTCACGTTGATTCTTGTGTGCTATACGAGTGTAATACACTTTGCGTTTTGCACCGATAAAACAGTATAATTGACAATGGTAAATCTCTGGAGAAATACAGCATTGCATTCTGTGTCTCCCTCGGTGAACAGATTCGAGATAATTTAAATCATTCCAGTACACATAGCGTTTTAATGAAGTACTTCAACATGTAATAAATACACAGTTAGAAAGGTAGAAATTCCAATATCATAAATTCCACTGAGAAAATTTTTATCAAGAGAAATTCCAATTTCATAAATCACACTTATTAAAGTTTCATCGAAAAGAAATAGCACACTCCGAAATTTGCGTGAAAATAAACAATGCAGAAAATTATTCGAAAAAGTGTGAAATGTGGGACAAGAGCGTGAGCTAACGAGAACTGACGAAAAGTTCGAATTTTCGTCGATTTACTCGCTCACTGTTATCTTCGTCTCGATTCGGCGCGTTTCAGCCTCGTTTCCGAAGCGATTCCGGAACGAAGGACAGAAAAGAGCCGTGCTTAGTCGCGGCGCCAAGGGTCGGATTCTAAGTTGCGGTAATTATCACTGTCGGGGGGTAAACGACATGGTAATGAGAAATTTTAACGAGTTATGCCGAGTGCAGCGTAAATCCCGCGCAGCCGAAGTACGTAATTAATAGCACGCCGCTCGCGGCACGCGTGTGCTACTTGCAAGTTTTAAGGCATACTCTACACGCAGCTCGCCAATTGTAATTCTAGTCTGAGAGTTATGCCTGCTTTCCGTTTTACAACTACAACAATTCCCTTCGTTCCGCGTATACCCGTTCGCTTATGTTCTTTTTATCACGCGAAAATTGCGCGTGAACCTACGAACATTTATTTTTCAATTATGTCGCCGGCTACTTTGCGACATATTAACATTTGCATTTGTAATTTGCCAATCGATAAATTCTGCTTCACAAATGATTGTAGGTTTTATCGAGATCGAAAAAAGAGAAAGAATTTTGGTAATTGGTAATTTGGCGAATATTTAAATTAACACGTACGAATGTGAGTGGATGATAGAAATATCTGGACAATTTAAAATATCAAGAATAAATTCGAGTGCAAAAAAGTATCCACTGTAACGACGATACAAGCAATTTCTCTTTATTCGCAGATCGTTATTCGTTCGTCCAAGCGGAACCGCTTAGCGAACGTAGATCGTCGTGGCTTCTCTCCCGAATTCCACCTTTTTATCTGCTGTACGGAATGTCGTTTAAAAATGAAATAGCGGAAATGCTAAATAGTCGAAAAGTTCTTGTGCGCCGCTTTTCGAGGAAATATTTGAAATGTTAGAACAGTGCAGAGACGGTTGGCGAAGTTTAAAACTGGGAATTTCCGCTTTGAAGATGAGTCTCGTTCAGAAAGGTCGCCGAAAATTTCGCTTTCTTATCGAAAATTCATTTCCCATTGAGAACTATTTTTCCATTGAAAATTATTAATTTTTTATTTTCTTTGAAAATTATCTCAATGAATAAATTGATAAATTACCATAACGCGAAACGATGGCGACAATATTACCTCAAATTAAAGAAGAAAATAAATATATCATAAATAGCATGATTTAACCAAAGAGCATAAAACATGGCGGAATATTCCGACAAACCAGATATCTCAAACCGAGTTCGACGATGCTTTTTTTTGCATCGGAGGTGATCGCGGGGAAAGCCGATTATCAAGCGAGGAGATACTCGAGGACGTGAAGGGAGAAACGGAAATTCAATTCCGGCCATTGTTGCGAGATACAGTCACGTGGGTGTCTAATGCCTCTTAAGGATAAAGTGGAACAGGGCGACGA